GTGCTACGGTGCAATACCATTTTTTGTGTTCATTTTTTTTCTATTTTTTTTCAAAAATGTTATTTTAAAAAATTACATTTGGGGTCATGTTTTTATTATGTGGAGACTTATCAGCAATTTGAGATTTTAATTATGAAAATAAATATATAGTTTCTGTATTTAATCTAGTGTTTGTTTTTGTGTTTAACTTGTAAAAACATCAGTTAATAATAAATTATTATTTATTTACATAATAAATATATTATTAAGTAATAATAAATAATTAAGTAAATAATAATAAAAATTGAGTGTGAATTGTAAATATAAAAAGTTCTTTAAAATAATATTATCTTCGTCCCATAAAATCAGCACAATTTTTTTTTTTTATATGTAGATGAAAAAAACAAAAATGCTCTTATTAGATTGTGTGATATAAAAATAATAATATTTGTATAATATATTGAAAGTTGTAAAACTATTAATTATGTTACGAAGGTAGTGCAATTACTAAATTAAAAAATAATACCATTGTTTAGGAACGACACCAAAATGAAAAATTGTATCCTTCTCATGGGACAGAGGGAGTGTGTAAAATATAATATTTGAAGAATTTTTTTTTTGAATAAAAAATAAATTATGGATCAAAGTAAAAATAATATGTAATTGTATTTTTTAAAATAAAATTGTATAAATAAGAGTCCGTGGGTTGAACATGACTTAACAACAAATTGATAGTATTTTAATGTAAAAAATAAAATTATAAAAAGTATTTTGAGGCACAATCGGACACTCTCGATCTAGTTATGATTTCATAAGCTTCATCAACCATCCCAAATTATTACATAAATTTGCTTTAAAATTGTTATAAAAATAAATGTGAATAATTGAGACAATAAAAAATCAAATAAGTCTTATGTTGCACGTGAATTCCTTAAAGTGAATTCGATCTGCCGCCAATCCGCTTTTAATGATAGATCAATAATAATTTGCACAAGATTGCGCTCAATACAAAAATTTATTGAATGTGTCTCAAAGAGTAACGATTGTGAATTTTTTTGATAATAATAATCGGGTTGGCACATAATCGATTTGTTTCAAATACGTGCAGTGTAGACTTGATCTGATTTTGGATTGAGAGTAAAAATCTAGGTTTGGACACAGTCCGTACTGGGCTGGGCCAATACAATTTTTTTACAAATATTAATTTTAATTATATTTTCCATAATTTTTTTATTAAAAAATAAAATATATTGTTTTAAATAAATATAATAATAATAAAATAATATTGTTATTGATAAATCCGTCATGGTTAGCCCGACACGATTTGCAAAAGCTCATATATAATTTGATTTTTTAAGTGTGTCGGGCTAACCAGACCCAATAACATTTCGGCTCTGCTTACTTGTAAGATTTTACTAATAATTTTATTATTCTAATTTTTTTTTTCCTCAAAAAAATCAAATTTTTATTTATTTTATTATACTAAAATCTAATTTTACATCAAAATATCACGTGAATACATATTTATGTCACATCAAATAACTATTTCAATTCAAAATTTTACTATTCAAAATCAAAAACTCAAAACAAAACCTCATAAGTACACACACCCGAATTCATGTCTGACTTATAGGTCCAAATTTTGTATGATGCTTTGATCGAATTTTCGAATCGTGCTTATTTTCGCTTACTCTACTTTAACCTAAAAAAATGTACTAAAAGTAAATGGTAAAACTGTACTCTACTTATTTTTGTTTCATTTTTATTTATTTTTTTGTCATGTTTTGAAGATATTATTTTTTATTACTACTAATAATAATTGTAGTAACTGAAAAAACAATGTGATATGGTAATGTTAGGAATGACGAGAATGACATTTCATCAACTATCCAATATGCCCTAGCTACTCCATTTTTATTTTTTTTATTTTTTTTTAAATTTTCCACTCTCTTTTTTAAATGATTAAAAAGACTTTAGTTTTTGGATTTTTGTTGTCAGCATCGCCAATACAACGAAAAGTATCCAAAGTAACATCATAGGTTCAAACTCCCGACGCCTCAGGTCATTTGCCACACATGGTTCGTCTAGTGTGACTTTTCAGTCGGGTTTGATTTGCAGGGTATTAGGTTCGACTGAGTGTTTACCCAGTGCACACTTTCGGATAGCGACTGCGGATTCCCATGTAAAAAAAATAAAATAAAATAGAAGTATCCAAAGCACCCACTAACACATCACAAATCATTTAATTAAATATCTGATTAGTTAAGAGCCCATTATTTAATTAGCACATATCTACTACTTCAATGGTGTGTTAAGTAAAGACAATTGAAAATGGCAAAATAAAAATTAACAATTTTTTAAATTTGTTTAAATTTGAGAATTCAATAAACGAACTCCATTCTTCCCAAATCAAGGATTTTTTAGGATTTTGTATTAGATTAAAAATAATAATATTTTATTAATTAGTAGAAGCGGTGAAAGATTTTTTTGCATTTTTGTTATTTGATTTTATAGTATAAAATAATTGTACATTGTATATTTATAATTTAAATAAAAATTAAGGTTATATTGATATTTGTGTATGTTACTTTTACTAAAATAATAAATAAATACTTTGAAGTGGGACATACGAAAATGATAAAAATACTATTTTGAATTGAGATGAATGGAGTATTATTTTTCATTTTTCACTTTTAATCCTCTTCTTTATACGGAGATATTGAAAAAATCGGAATTGTGAGAGTTATAAAAATATATACTTTTGTATATATGTTTGAATAAATAACAAATGATTATCGGACTGTTTTTTATATTGAATGTGGAGTGTTGATTTCCTGGGTAGGAGATAAAGTCGTCGGGTGTCTGTTGGCCGTCGTCGGAGCTGCTTTTTCGTCATATCGGTTTCTTTGTTCGATAAAGTGAACCGAGTTGAAATTAGATTCACATTAGTGTGTTGGTTGCGTTTTCAATTTTTTTTAAAAACGATATAATATATTTATATATTTTTAAAAAATGACTAATAAAAATTACAGGAAACTATAACAATAACCATAGTAAGAATAATTAATAAAACCCTGACTCCGGGTCATGGGTTCAAACTCAAGACCTTCGAATCCTTTCTGTCACACATGGTTCATTTAGTGTGATTTGTTTTATTAAACTTAGTTTGCAAACTATTAAGTTCAATAGTGTTTACCAGAGCGTTCTAAAAAAGTAACTACTACAGATCCTACGTCATAAAAAGAAAAACTTCACTTTGTTTAATCATAGAGTTTTGAAGTTTTGAAATTTGAAAAAAAAAAAAGTATAATAATAATAAGAATTAAATATTTAATATAATATTTTGTGGAAAAAAAATTAATATAATACTTTTTAAAAAAATTACTTAAAATAAATAACACTAAAAATTTTAAAAATATTTATGTAAATAGATCCCTAAGTATATATACATAAAAAGTGTTCATTTGTTTATGGGTAAATTGGACCTCTTTATCATTTTAGTCCCGTAATTGGATGCTGTTTTAAACTAATCTCGTAAGTGAAATTTTTTCTCAATTTAGTCCTCAATGCCTAGGTGGCATCTGCGTGGCAAACTGACGGACACGTGTCGGCCATATCAGCGCCACGTGGATAATTTTTTATTTTTTTAATTTTATTTTTAAATAAAAAATTAATAAAAATAAAATTAAATGCATAAAATATATAAAAATAAAATTTAAAAATTTAAAAAAAATAAAATTTAAAAATATAAAAAATTAAAATTTAAAAATTAAAATGAAAAAAAAAATTATCGACATGTCAGTCAGATCAGCACCACGTGGATAATTAATATTTGACTTGACGTACATATGGATAATTTTATTTTTTATTTTATTTTTAATTTTTATATTTTATATTTTATTTTTAGTTTTATGTTGTAATTTTTTTATATTTAAAAATAAATTTAAAAAATCCACGTGGCGGACACGTGTCAGCCACGTGGCATGATCTGGCCGACACGTGTCCGTCAACCTGTCACGCAGATATCACATAGGCATTGACAACTAAATTGAAATATTTTTTCACTTACGGGACTATTTTAAGACAGTCTCCCGTTACAAAATTAAAATGATAAAGAAATCCAGTTATAAGATTAAAATGATAAAGAATTACAAATATGCGACTAAAAAGTGAGTTTATCTTTGTTTATTTTTTTATAAATGTCAACTGTTTTGGTGAATGTTTATGAGCAGTTTCTAACAACTTTTGACATTACGCAATTATCCAACAATGATTAATTAACAGACATATATATATATATATATTCATGTAAGATTAGATTGGAAAAGAAGATAAAAATATTAATAGGCTGATTAAAAATTTGATTTTATTGTTAGTAAAAGAAAAAAATGCTATGTAATTAATGGTGTTATCATATAATATATATTTGATTAAAAATAAATTTATCTATATTCAAATATTTTTTAAAAAATTATTCTTCAATATGTATTCAATATGAATCTTATTTTAGAAAAAATAATTATATAATACAAATATATATATATTTGATCTTGTAAGTAATAGAAACTTTAATGTATATATATATAAAAGTATATATATTTTTTTATGCCGTGGGAACCCGCAATAATATAAATATATTATTTTTATATGAAATATAAAAATAAAAATTATAAATAAATTTCACTTAAAATTTTATTTTGAGATGTTTAAAATAAATCTTAGAATCATAGCGTCAATCGCGCCGTATATTATTATTATTATTAGTATTAAATTAATTTAGTTTCAAACTATATATATATATATATATATATAAAAGTGGGAGAGCAGCCAATAAATTTTTTGTGGAAATCAAATAAGAAAATTTATTAAGAGTTTATGAACCCATATTGGGCCATAAAGAAACAAAGGAAAAATGAGTAACGAATACAAAGAAGAACTCAATATCGATCGATCCATCAAACCCATCTACTTACTATACATAATATGTATGATATGATGCGTACGATGAAGACAACCTTAAATGAATCAAAATATTCAAGATGGATGATCTCAAACAACTATCTTTTTTGTTTTTTTGCAAGCATCAATGATGCTTGCCAGCTCGAAGATATAATAAGAAGAACATGCATGATAACAACTGAATAAGTAGGTACAAATTGGTCCAGGATGCGAAAGATGAATCTCTGTGATGCTCGGAGGACCTTATTGAAAATAATAATTGTCCTAGACACTCGATGCTTGAACCATATACCTGGGAAGCCCCTTTTTATTTGATGATTGAGGCTTGATACTGCAAAAAGAATAATGCAAGCTAAGTAAGTACATGAATAGTAGTGGCAATCAATCGTACAAAAAGATGAAATATATATTTTTAAAGCTTTATACTTACACGAGTGTTTCCCAAGTATGTGTGTTGCGCTACTTGAATTTAATAATGAGTTGGAGGTGGGGGAGAGGTGTAGATGTATACTGGTGGGGGAGGTGACTTTACGGGGGGAGGAGGTGAACTGTAGTGGTAAGGGGGTGGAGGAGATGGGGAGGGGGGAGGGGGAGAGGTGTAATGGTAAGGTGGTGGGGGAGATTTTACGGGTGGAGGAGGTGACGTGTAGTGGTAGGGAGGTGGGGGAGATGGGGAGGGGGGAGGGGGAGATTTGTAAATGTAATGGGGTTTGGGGGAGGGTGGCGGGGGAGAGCTGTAATGGTAGGGTGGTGGAGGAGATGGTGATGGTGGGGGAGGTGATGTGTAATGATATGGCGGTGGTGGAGATGGTGAGGGTGGTGGGGGAGAGGTGTAATGGTAGGGTGGTGGAGGTGATTTTACGGGTGGAGGGGGTGATGTGTAGTGATACGGTGGTGGCGGAGATGGTGAGGGTGGTGGGGGAGAGGTGTAATGGTAAGGTGGCGGGGGTGATGTGTAGTGATACGGTGGTGGTGGAGATGGTGAGGGTGGTGGGGGAGAGGTGTAATGGTAGGGTGGCGGAGGTGATTTTACAGGTGGAGGGGGTGAGGTGTAGTGGTATGGTGGTGGGGGAGGTGATGTGTAAACGTACGGGGGTGGTGGAGATTTATAGATGTAATGGGGTTCAGGTGAGGGTGGTGGTGGGGAAGTATAGTGGTAAGGCGGTGGAGGAAAGGGCGATGGCGGTGGTGGAGATTTATAATAGTACGGTGGGTGTTCGGCTTTCACTGGTGGTGGCGGAGACTTATAGATGTAGGGAGGTGGTGGTGGAGATTTGTAAATATAGACGGGCGATGGAGGGGGTGGAGACTTGTAAATGTAAGGAGGTGGCGGCGGGGACTTATAAATGTAGGGAGGTGGCGGTGGAGACTTGTAAATATAAACAGGTGATGGAGGCGGTGGAGACTTGTAAATGTAAGGAGGTGGCGGCGGGGACTTGTAAATATAGACAGGCGATGGAGGGGGTGGAGACTTATAAATGTAGGGAGGTGGTGGTGGAGACTTGTAAATATAAACAGGCGATGGAGGGGGTGGAGACTTGTAAATGTAAGGTGGTGGCGGCGGAGACTTGTAGGGAGGTGGTGGTGGAGATTTGTAAATGTAGGGAGGTGGCGGCGGGGATTTGTAAACATATGTCGGTGAGGGTGGTGGGGGTGACTTATAGACGTAAGTTGGGGCTGGTGGTGGTGGTGATTTATAAATGTAAGGAGGAGGTGGTGGCGACTTATAGACATAAGGAGGTGGTGGGGGAGATTTGTATACATATACTGGAGATGGTGGTGGTGGTGATTTATATACATATACTGGTGTTGGTGGTGGTGGAGATTTATAAACATAATGTGGCGAGGGTGGTGGTGGAGACTTATAGACATAGGCTGGGGTGGGTGGTGGCGGAGATTTATATACATAATGTGGCGATGGTGGCGGCGGAGATTTGTAAACATAGGTTGGGGTGGGTGGCGGGGGTGACTTATAAACATAAGTTGGGGTGGGTGGTGGTGGGGATTTGTAAACGTATACAGGGGATGGGGGAGGTGGTGATGTGTAGTAGTATGGGGCCGGGGTAGGCTTAGGTTTCTCGCACTCGTGGTAAGGGGTCTTTGAGGCATAGGCAAATGGCTTAGCATAAAGGACAACCTCGTACTCTGTCTTGGATTTAACCCGAACCTTAGCGCCATCCTTCCCGTCATGAACATTTAAGGCAATGCTGCACTTTGAGTCCTTCGGCGCTGCGTGAAGCTTCGCGATGCAAGCCTTTGCGCCGTACTTGCCGTAGTCGAATCCTTCGACGGTCACGCTGTATTTGCCGTTGATCTTTGTCTTGCCATAGACAATAATTTCTTTGTCACCTGCCTTGCACGTGACCTCGACAACGGCACCTGCATCACCATCACGTGTGCAGAATATCATTAACTAAATTTGAAAATAATAATCGTTATAGATGGCTGCAACTATATTTTAAGAATCTTACATAAAATAGTGTTATTGTTTAATTGCATGATTAGGTTCATTTCTAACTTGGTCGTGGAATACTATTGGAGCATGGAAAATATATTAAAAATAATAATGAGTTACTTTCTAAATAAATATTAATTTATTAGAATAGACTAATATATATATATATATATTTATCGATGTTGAAATTGTTCCACTTTAATTCACCTAATCCTTCAACTAAAAAGAATAAGTGATGTAAGATTAAATATTCACTATTAAGCATTCCAATAATTGAGTGATTATTAGTTAAAAAAAAAAAAAAATTGGGAATATTCTTTGCTAAAAAAAATTAGTTTCCATCTAATATTACCAATATTTTAAAAATTACGTGTAACATTTTTTTATTTTTTTTATTTTTCACTAAGAAACAATTAACTTAATAGTAATATGAATAGTTATAATTAACAAGGTATGACATGTTAGTCTTGGAAAGAATTTTATGGGTTAGCATTTTTATGTTTCTAATTAGAGAAAAAATCAAATTAAATTATATATGTATATTTAAATAAAAATTTGTTTGTACCTTTGAGATGTTTCTTGTTGTGTGACTTGTCGGGATGCTCCCAATTGTAGCACTTGTAGCAATACACTTTTCCGGTGACTTTCACGACGAAGGGGTGGTGGTGCGGGTGTGGAGGGTAGTAGTGAACCGGCGGCGGCGGAGATGTGTAGTAGTAGTGGTGTGGCGGAGATTTTGCTGGTGGTGGTGGAGATTTATAGTAGTAATGAGGTGCCGGAGATTTTACAGGCGGCGGTGGTGATGTATAGTAGTATGGTGGTGGTGGAGATTTATATATGTAAGATGGTGGCGGCGGCGATTTGTACAGATAGGGTGGTGGCGGCGGCGATTTGTATATATAGGGTGGTGGTGGTGGTGGAGATTTATATATGTAAGGTGGTGGCGGGGGCGGCGATTTGTATATATAGGGTGGTGGTGGTGGTGGAGATTTATATATGTAAGGTGGTGGCGGCGGCGGCGATTTGTATATATAGGGTGGTGGTGGTGGAGATTTGTATATGTAAGGTGGTGGTGGCGGCGATTTGTATATATAGGGAGGTGGTGGTGGAGATTTATACACATAAGGTGGTGGTGGTGGTGGTGACTTGTACACATAGGGTGGTGGTGGTGGAGATTTATATATATAAGGTGGTGGTGGTGGCGGTGACTTGTACACATAGGGTGGTGGTGGTGGAGATTTATATACGTAAGGTGGTGGTGGCGGAGATTTATATACGTAAGGTGGTGGTGGTGGCGGCGATTTGTATACATAGGGTGGCGGTGGTGGAGATTTATATACATAAGGTGGTGGTGGTGGCGATTTATATATGTAAGGTGGTGGTGGTGGCGGCGATTTGTATACATAGGGTGGTGGTGGTGGAGATTTATATACGTAAGGTGGTGGTGGCGGCGATTTGTACACATAGGGCGGTGGTGGTGGAGATTTATATATGTAAGGTGGTGGTGGAGGTGAGCTATAAACATAAGGAGGCGGTGGTGATGGCGACGGCGGCGGCGGCGATTTGTACTCATAGGGTGGTGGTGGAGACGGTGATGGCGGCGGCGGTGACTTATACTCATAATGCGGCGGCGGCGGCGGCGATTTATATTCATAAACCGGCGAAGGAGGTGGTGGCGGCGACGAGTAAACATACGGGTCGCCGGAAACCATATTTGAAATGGCCAAAATGGCCATTACCACTAGAAGATGCGGCGGCGCTCGGCCCATGCCGCGGCCGGAACTCCTCATTGAACTCCGCCGGAAAGCCAACTGCTCCGCCGTGTGCGTCGGCCGCGACACCTTTTTTATTTTTGGGGGCCTAAGAAAATAAATATATTTTGAGGACAAAAGATGGTTGTGAAATGTCGTAATAAGTGTGTGTATATATAGGAAAAGAAAATTGAACAGAAACAGTTAGTTAGCAAAGAGCTGTCAATTAAAAAATTAAATAAATAAATAAACCAACTGAGATTCAAATTGATTTTGTCCAAAATTTGCAAGCAATTAGAGTAATAATAATTAAAAAATAATAATAAAAATCATTACAGCTGGACGCATTACAGCATTTTGAAGCCCATGTTCAAATCATCTTCTATTTTTTGGTATCAACTAATACTTACCTGCTACAAATTAAATTAAATTGATATAGTATATTATATATTTTAATTTATTGATTTTTTTGAACTTTAAAAATTATTTCCACTTTCTACCCATTGTTATATATGTTTATCTTATTCCCACGTCTCATGATGATTTGTCACTTTTTTTTTTTTTAACTGAAAACAATAAATAATAAAATATAAATTTGTTTTGTTGGAAATGATTTTATTTAGGTAATATTTTGCAATTTCCCAATCAGACAACTGGTAAGAAACAAAAGTGTATTGCCTTTAAAAACATAGTTGATAATTTTTATTTATTTATTTTTATTGCTATTGTATACCGTATATGTACTGTATTATTTTGACTACAGTTGTCATTTAAATATATACCAACTTAGTAATATAATAAGTGGGAATTATTTTTTATCAAGAGAATTAGTTAAAAGATGGAGCTGTCGAAAACTGATCCGATACGATAATTCAATACGATAATTCGATACGATTCGACACGAAATAATTGGGTTTGAGTCAACGATTTCAACCCGATTATGTATACGGGTTGACACAAACCCAACACGATAATAAACGGGTCGGGTTTGGGTTGAAACTCTCAACTCGAACTCGACACGATAATCCGATTATAATATATTAATATTGATTAATATATTTATTATATATATAAAATAATCATAATTTATTAATTTTCTCATAAATTAATTTAAACTAAGTTCAATTTTAAATAATTCAATTTAATTTACGCTCAAACTAAAACTAATAAAAACTAACATAACACGACAATACAACAAAAATTTATTTAATTTGAATCAAGAAATTCGATTTAATTATGTATACGGGTCAACACGAGTCAACTCGAATCCGACATGATAATAAATGAATCAATACGAACACGACACGATAATAAACAGGTTGAATTAAGGTTGAATAATTTAATCCGTTTAAAGTATTCAACCCGACGCGAATCCGAGACAAATCGATCCTGCCAGCTCTAGTTAAAGGTTAGTCAAAACTATGAATTATAATGCCACATTTTATTTGTAATATATATATATTAATAATTTAACAATGGAAAAATATAAATAAAAGAAGAAAAAGGGGGCCCACAAAAAAATATATATAATTGAAGTAAATTTCCATTTATAAACATAATTATAATAATTCCTTTTTCTTTTTTCCAATTAGGAAATTGGATTGGGACAATTGCTGTGTGTGTCCGTACAGAACAATGCACAGAGCACTAAATATGATCACTACAAATTGGCCTTTAGGGTATTGGATTTTTGTTGTTTGTCACATTGAAATATCTAAATTAGAAAATTGTAAATATTTTTATAAAATATTTGTTTTTGACAAATTAGGGTTAGATTTATAAAAAGAAATGTTAATTTTAAATAATAATTTTAAGAGATTGGAATACGGATGGCATACCGTTCCATATCGGTCGATATCGATATCGTATCAAACTTTTCGGTATGACGAAAATACATATCGATATGGTACCGAAATTTTCGGTACGGTACCGGTATATACCGTTTATACCGAATATTTCAATTTCGGTAAAATACGGAAGATACCGCTTATACTGAAAATTTTGATTTTGGTAGATACCGGTATATACCGATTATACCGAAAGTATAATTTTAAATTTTAAAATAATTAAAAAATTAATAAATATCAACATATCGAATTTTTTGGTATTTTCGATATAAAATAGTACGATAAGTCGGTATTTCGGTATGTTCGGTAAATTTATCGCCAAATTGGAAGGGCATGTGATTTCTCAATTATGAAATATGAAATGGAATGTCATGCGAAAGCATCACAATTTTTTTTGCAGCTTTTTTGTGGGGAAATTGGTCAACATACACAAATATAATGAGAATAATATTTATGTATATATATATATATTATTTTTTTTTATTTATTAGTAAATATTATATTTATAAATTTGTTTTTATTAGTATAATGCGTATATTTAAATTAACATATAGTGAATTAAGCAATAATGTTATAACATTTACTTTATTTACCTAATATCTTTTTTTGGTATAATTTCAATAAATATTGTAAAAAAATATATTATTACACACATATATAATATATATTTAATTTATTTTCAAAAAAAAAAATTAATATAGAATATATATATATTTTATTACTACAACTCTTCTTCATACATAACATTAAAAACACATACATAAACAAAAAAAAAAAAAAAAGAAAACATATAAAAAGGCCTTGTAGATTGTTGTATATAACATTAGTGTTTTTCTACTGAACAATTTTCAAATATTTTAGACCTCTCATGGTCGTATTTATCTTTTGCGTTTTATATTTAACATTAAAAATATTTTTATATTTGTATAATTTTTTTTTATAGATATTCTTATATTAGTATTATAAGATATTAATACAAATATTTTTGTAATTTTTATTAATTTGTCCAGTAAATGATGGTCTGATGGTATGGGGTTGAACTTGTGACCATAAAATCATGGGTTTAAATTATACATGATTCGGCTAGTGTGACTTGTCTTTTATATTACACCGTACTAATAGGGTTATTTTTGTTTTTTTTACTACAATCCAATATAATACTAATATTAAAAAATTTACGTGCAAAAAATAAATATTATCCTTCCAATTGGACAGAGGAAGTATATTTATACTAGAATCCGTTAAACCCCGTCTCCACTTTTGATTATTTTTTATTTAATTTTTCATATTTGCCCACTACTTTAATTGTATATTTATATTTAATTTTATAAATATAATTTATTATTATATAAATGATGTGTTTATTTATAGAATTTTATTTTTGTATTTTGACTTTGACATATAATGAGAATTAATAATTTTATATCAAATTTAATTAAAAAGATAAAAAAATATATATTTGGGAATATTTACAATTAACCTTTAGTTGATAGCTTGTTTAACTAATTATACATATTAGCTATTTGTGCTAAAATATTTGTTAAAATATTTACTTGATATTAGTTATTTGTACATAAAGTGATAAATTAAAATTATTTTATATTTTATTTTTAAAATGGTTAGTTGTATATTTTCTGTGTTTAAAAATTTTAGAATTTTTATTACTAATTATTGAAAATTATGAAATTTTTATTAAAATATTTATTTTTGCTGTTTTTTTTTACAATATTTTTAAAGAAAATGAATGTATTTTTATTAAATAAACATGACTGTTTTTTTCATTAGAAATAGTATAAAATATAAAAATAATAAATTATTCTTATATATATTTTTCATTAGACTAATAGTTAATTATTTTGTTTATTATAATTATAATTTTAAATCAATTTTTAATATAAAAATATATATAAATAAATAACACATTTATTTCAACAACTTTAAATTTTTACAAATAAAATACTTTACATATAAAAAATAATAACTTTAATTACCTTAAACATATAAAGTTAAAACTTTAAGTTATAGAAGAAAATAATTAATGAATCTTTTTATATTGATACAGATAATACTCTCTCAGTTCCATAAGAATAGTCTTACGAGGGTTCGACACAAAATTTAAAGAATATCAATATTATATTGATAGTTAGTAAAAATATAGGTAATTTTTTTTTGTATATAGTTATGTAAAAGGTATTGAAATTTGTGTAATAATAATGAAAAAGTAATATAAGTTTTATTGTAATATGTTTATTTATAAAAATGAAATTATTATTTTAAGACGAACAAAAATGAAAAAGTAGAATCATTGTTTTAGGAGAAAAAGAATAAAACTTAAATACTTTAAATATAAATCAATATATACATATGTGATTTTTACCATTTTTAATTATAATATCATTTTATTAAATAATTTTTAAAAAATTTATTTATAACAAAAATATTAAAATTGATTTGAAATTATGAAATTTTATTTGAATGTTAAAGAAATAATATTATTTTAAATGAAAGTGAAATATTTATATATATAATAAACCATAAGTATGTATAATAAAAAAAAAATAATTCCAATATTAATAAAAACTAATAAGTAAAAAAATACTATTATGTGTTAAACTAAAAATAATAACAATATAAATAAATAAATTTTTATTATTATAGATTATATATAAATTTAGCAAATAATAATAATAAAAAACTTAACATAATTTTGATAAACAAATCGACATAGACATATTATACACAACATAACATATTTAAAATATTTTATTATAACACAACATATATGTAAAAGTAAATACCATGCAACATTTCATTTTTATTTGTCCCAAACTCAATGCAATATTTCTAAATTTAGAAATATTTAATTACATTTATATATACATTTCATTTTATCTCATCACATCACTTAAATAAAAATAAATAAATATACATATGTCTCTCGAATCACATCACATAATCTCCAAATTATCTCAATTTACTATACTTAATGCTACACACCTAAAATCATATGCCAAACTCAAATATTGTGCAGTATTTATGACAAAGAAAGTATATCTTTTTATTCAATATATTGATTGGATCAAATCTGCAATCCAATCAGCATCATATTCGCGCCTTATAAAAACTTTTATTCAAATTTAAGTACCAATTATCATATAATAATAATAAATAGTCGTAATATGCTAATAAAGTATACTTTTACAACAAAGAGCAAATCAATTGATTTGTTTATCCAATCAAAAATTTTATACATGAATATGACAAGAGCTTTTAGCAAAATTACTCTATTAAAACAA